TGCCTTGGAAACCTCCAATGACTTCACAACCAAACAAGTATAATAAAAGCTACAAATCCTAAAATAAATGCAATATCCTAAAGCAATTAAACTAACATGAAGTAAATAACAGAAAATAACATGCCATAAAGATTAAATTCACAGACAACAGAAAAAGTAAAATAACAGACAATGATTTCTACTACGCAGCCCATAATGATAATTAAAATTGAAGAAGAAACTATGAAATGATTAAAGTCTGAGAACTTATAAATTTAAATCTGGAAATTGAAATTAAACAAACTGCATGTCTGGATATTGTGCAGAGACAAAAGAACAAAGGTAGAGAACATTCAACCTATTTACATGAACGAAAAACATAACTAAATCCATAAAATAAAGAAAAACTAACTGAATCAAAAGGGCAGACCTGTTTTGAAGGCTAAGTTGCTTCCAAATGCTTAAAAATTAATCTAAATTGGAATTTGCGGGAGAAAATATGAACAAAGATGAACAAACCTAGGCTAAGGCTATGAACTAATCTGGAAAATTTGGAAAATCTGGAAACTATTGCTGAAATATGGAAAATGCAGTCTGAAAGCTGAAAAACATGCTTTGGGCAGTCTGTGTGTGTGTTGGGCAGGCCTGAAACTGTTCTCTTCTCTCTATATTTATTTTCTTCGGTGCTAGTAACTTTCTCCATGATCTTCGGTACTGTTCCTCGATTTTCGACACTGTTCCTCCATGATCTGGTAATGGGATTGTAGGTCTGGCAGTTATTTAATAGTTATCTGATTTTTATTTAACCTTATTTCCAACAACCTTAAAGATAACAACCTAAAAATCCTCAATTTCCTATTTTAAATCAAACTCAAACTACCATATGCAATCTTATTTTCTGCCACCTAAGATTCAACCTCCTTGGAAATCCGTCTGGGCCGTTAAATTATAAGCCAGCCCAACCCAAATCTAGCCTATTAATTTTTTTGATAATCGGGTTTTACCTTGACACGTGACCTTACCCTATTGGTTTATTTTAAGTGTAAATACCCTGCAAATGTAATCTTAATTTCTCAATTAAGATTTCCGATGTCTAGGTGGCTGGCGGGCGGGCGGGCAAGTAACTGCTCAGACGGCGTGCTTCGGGGGAAGTTAAATAAAAGGGGTAGTGATTTTTATGATTTTTAGTAAGTTACTTGTTTTGTAGTATGATCTCCAGTATAAAATAGAAATTAATAATTGAAAATCTGTTTAATTTAATAGTTTAAGTTATACAACTTATAACTTTTTTATATTTAGTATGAAATTAATTTCAAGGCTCATATTGATTAAAAATTTTCGAGGGATTTAATTGTATGAAAGTGTGAGAATTTAATTGACACAAACAACTTAGTTAAGGGGTCAATCTGTATTATTTCAGAAAACAAATGCATATGAAAACTGAAAAGAAAGATACTCGGAACAAACGGCAAAAAAGATAGAAGTTGTATTAGTATTGAGTAGCAAAATTTTTTGAAACACGACCCTTCGAATTTATAACATTATTATATCGAGGACGCCAATGCTTTTGCACCGCCGCCAGCGCTCAGATATCTCGACCGTTAGACGAGGAAGTAAGGAAAAGTCGTCATCTTTTTTTGACTTTCTTCACATCACGGGCCCACATATCAACTTTGACCATTTCAACTTAACGTAAACCGTCAGATCCCTTCCTCTATGGATCAGATCTCTCGACCGTTATCCCTAGCTCCCTTTTGCGTCTGAAAGATCCCGAAGGCTTCTAAATTCAAATACACCATTTTTTTTTTTTTGGTACATTCAAATTCAAATACACCATTATACAAAGTATTCGTATCTTCATCTTCCATTAAACGATTAAAAGACTTAAAATCCATTTTCATCACTGCAAAAGATTTTATCTTTATTCTGTTTCTCTATCTGGTTTTCTACATTTCGTCTCTGTTTTCTTTCAATTGTTCCGGGAAACAGATTTCAGGAAAAACCATGGTGAAAACGGCTTCTTCTCCAGTGACCATAACCGTTTCGTCGGGAGGCAAAGGAAGTGGGAGTAGAAGCATGGGTCTAACAAGTCCAGTACCACGAGCTTCGGTATCGAACAACCCAAATTCTCCTCTCAGTAGCAGGGCTTCAACCGGCGGTAGACGAACGTCAAGTGCAGGAAGGTACTGCTCCATGTCAAAGGATGAAACCTTGGAGGAGGTGAATTCAGAATTTGTAACGTACACAGTGCATATACCTCCCACGCCAGATCACCAGTCAATGTCAGCATCACAAACAAGCCTCAATGAAGATGGTAAGAAAGTGATGAAGCCTGAAAGGAGTTTCATTTCTGGTTCTATTTTTACTGGAGGGTACAACTCGGTGACTCGAGGGCATGTGATTGATTGCTCATTGGAAAGAACAGAGCCAGTCAAATCGGGGCTGATTTGTGGAATGAAGGGATGTGATCAGAGAGCAATTCAGGGGAAATGTGAGTGTGGATTCGGGATTTGCAGAGATTGTTACTTGGATTGTGTGGGGAGTGGAGGAGGGCATTGTCCTGGATGCAAAGAACCTTACAAAGATGTTAGCGATGGTGATGAAGAGGATGATGAGGGTAAGTCTGAAGCAGAGGACCAAGCTCTGCCTCTGCCTTCAATGGCTGATTTCAAGTTGGACAAGAGGCTTTCGCTTGTGAAGTCATTCAAGGCACAGAACCATCCCCAGGATTTTGATCACACACGGTGGTTGTTTGAGACTAAGGGGACTTATGGGTATGGAAATGCAGTCTGGCCTAAAGATGGGTATGAAGTTGGGTCAGGAGTAAACGGGTTCGAGCATCCACCGGATTTCGGAGAAAGAAGCAAGAGGCCTTTAACCAGGAAGGTTGGAATTTCTGCTGCAATTCTCAGTCCCTACAGGTAACCCCAAAATCAATTTGCCTTTTAATTTTATCATTTTAGTTTAGACAGCAATATTGTAGTACTAGGGCTACTAGAATCTATGAAACACACAATATTCCAATGAAATGAATTGCTCTATGATTCATAATTTGTAGATTAATTATGGCAAATCTTGAATTAGATGTTTGTGATTATATATGCAGATTGCTTATTCTTATACGCCTTGTGGCCCTTGGTTTCTTCCTTACATGGAGGATTAGACACCCTAACCATGAAGCAATGTGGTTATGGGGAGTGTCTACAACTTGTGAACTTTGGTTTGCCTTTTCATGGCTTCTAGATCAACTTCCTAAGCTCTGCCCTGTAAATAGAGTAACTGACCTCTCTGTTCTTAAAGAACGTTTTGAGTCACCCAACCTTCGCAACCCAAAAGGAAGATCAGACCTTCCGGGCATTGATGTGTTTGTTTCCACGGCAGACCCTGAAAAGGAACCCCCTCTTGTAACTACAAACACCATTCTTTCCATCCTTGCTGTTGATTACCCTGTGGAAAAGCTTGCCTGTTATCTTTCTGATGATGGTGGGTCTCTTTTGACATTTGAAGCTCTTGCTGAGACTGCTAGTTTTGCTAGAATTTGGGTACCATTTTGTCGAAAACATAACATAGAGCCAAGAAATCCTGAGGCCTATTTTGGGCAGAAGCGTGATTTTCTTAAGAACAAAGTGAGGCTTGACTTTGTTAGGGAGAGGAGGAGGGTGAAGAGAGAATATGATGAATTTAAGGTGAGGATCAATTCATTGCCTGAGTCGATAAGGCGGAGATCAGATGCTTACAATGCTCATGAGGAGCTACGAGCAAAGAAGAAACAGATGGAAATGGGAGGAAATCCTTCAGAACACGTAACGGTGCCAAAGGCTACTTGGATGTCAGATGGTTCTCATTGGCCTGGAACATGGGCTTCTGGAGAATCTGATCACGCAAAAGGAGATCATGCTGGTATAATCCAGGTAAAGTCCCACAACCCAATTTGCAGATTTTTCATAGCTATGGAAATAAGTGTGATTTTTAAATGATAAATCTTTAACTTCTGTTTCAGGCAATGCTAGCTCCACCAAATGCAGAACCAGTTTATGGTGCAGAAGCAGATGGGGAGAGCCTGATTGACACAACAGAAATTGATGTAAGATTGCCGATGCTAGTTTATGTTTCACGCGAGAAAAGGCCTGGTTATGACCACAACAAGAAGGCAGGAGCCATGAACGCACTGGTCCGAACCAGTGCCATCATGTCAAATGGGCCATTCATTCTTAATCTTGACTGTGATCACTACATCTACAACTCCTTGGCTCTAAGGGAAGGAATGTGCTTTATGCTGGACAGAGGTGGTGACAGGATCTGTTATGTTCAATTCCCACAGAGGTTCGAGGGTATTGATCCAAATGATCGTTATGCCAATCACAATACAGTGTTCTTTGATGTGAGCATGAGAGCTCTTGATGGATTGCAGGGTCCAATGTATGTAGGCACAGGCTGCATTTTCCGAAGAACTGCTATTTATGGGTTTAGTCCTCCAAGAGCCACAGAACACCATGGATGGTTTGGTAGAAGGAAGATTAAATTGTTCTTGAGAAAACCAAAGGTGACAAAGAAAGCTAAGGATGAGATATCATTGCCAATCAACGGTGAACATAATAACGATGATGATGCTGACATTGAGTCACTGCTTCTTCCGAAAAGGTTTGGGAATTCAACTTCTCTGTCTGCATCAATCCCAGTTGCAGAGTACCAAGGAAGGCTGCTTCAGGATTTGCAAGGAAATGGGAACCAAGGCAGGCCGGCGGGTTCTCTTGCAGTGCCGCGTGAGCCTCTTGATGCTGCAACTGTTGCTGACGCTATCAGCGTTATCTCCTGCTTCTATGAGGATAAAACAGAGTGGGGGAAAAGGGTGGGGTGGATTTACGGTTCTGTTACAGAGGATGTTGTTACCGGTTACAGAATGCACAACCGTGGGTGGAGGTCAGTGTATTGCGTGACCAAGAGAGATGCATTCCGAGGGACAGCTCCGATCAATTTAACTGACAGGCTCCACCAAGTCCTCCGCTGGGCAACTGGGTCCGTAGAGATATTCTTCTCAAGAAACAATGCACTGTTTGCTAGTCGCCGGCTGAAATTCTTACAAAGAGTTGCGTATTTCAACGTCGGAATGTACCCATTCACCTCTCTGTTCCTCCTAGTCTACTGCATCTCACCGGCGGCGTCCCTTTTCTCCGGTCAGTTCATAGTCCAATCCCTCAGCGCGACCTTCCTGATATACTTGTTGGCCATCACAATCACCCTGTGCCTGCTTGCCATCCTCGAAATCAGATGGTCCGGAATCACTATCCATGACTGGTGGCGCAATGAGCAGTTCTGGTTAATTGGGGGAACAAGTGCTCATCCTGCTGCAGTGCTACAAGGACTCCTGAAGGTTATAGCCGGAGTTGACATATCCTTCACTCTAACATCAAAATCATCCACACCAGAAGACGGAGAAGATGAATTTGCAGAGCTATATGTTGTGAAATGGAGCTTTCTCATGGTCCCTCCAATCACAATCATGATGGTGAACATGATTGCCATTGCAGTAGGCGTAGCAAGAACCATGTACAGCCCTTTTCCCCAGTGGAGCAAGCTGGTTGGTGGAGTGTTCTTCAGCTTCTGGGTGCTTTGCCATCTCTACCCATTTGCAAAGGGATTAATGGGAAGGAAAGGGAAGGTCCCAACCATTGTGTTTGTTTGGTCCGGATTGATCTCCATCATTGTCTCTCTGCTTTGGGTGTACATAAACCCCCCATCTGGAAGTCAGGATTACATGAAGTTCCATTTCCCATGATATCTTCATTTTTTGTTATAGACTTGATCAATTTCTCATCCATGTCTCTATGATACAACGAGGTTATCAATTCATTTGGTGAGTAGAATTATTTGCCCAAGGGATGGGGTGAGTTTGGAATCCCTGATTAGGCATTCAAACAAATGAATGTGAAGTTCTTCAAAATTTCAACCCAAAATTGGAACTTTCCGACACATCTCCAACATGGTTGCAGATTGTCACATGGTTAATTGGTGTTGCATGTGTTATGTTCACTTTGAAAGTGGCCGATCTTCCTAGTATGAATATTTAAGACAAAACCAAGCTCTCTTAAGCTTGTTAGCCATCTCTTTACCACCACCCATAAGACTAAAAGAAACAAACTAATAAATGTCCGAAGCTGCCCCATTTGCAATTGTTTCGTTCTAGCCAATCAAACAACACATTCTGTCAAGCATATTTTTCCCATGGTGGTCCTATTCTATCGAACGCGTGTCCATCAGTCCCACTTAGCTCTAGCAGCCATGGCCGGATTCTCGGTATTCCAAAACGCTCTGTCAAGATCAATTCCTTTAGGCCTCACAAAATTGCATGTGTTTCTCATTCATTCCAATTCTGTAAATTCACAAGCACGTTGGCCTGGAACAACGCCTACAAACCTAGCATTTTCACTAACTAGAGATCATACTTTAGATTCCTGATATTGGATTAAGGTCAAGGGCTTACTATTTATTTTAAGGTCTAATGATCTTTATGGTAGTTAATGGTATGTCCTACTAGCACTAAGAGAGAAGGATGGAAACCCATGGATTTCAGATTAGGCAAGCAAATGGAAGCTTGTGATGGTATGCTATATTCCCTTCAAATGTACAAAGAATCATGGAAATGGGGAGCCATTGGTGTTGGACCATGAAGTAGTCTTAATGGGCCCCTCCCCTCTTCCTCTTCCACCATATTATGGCTGTTTCTAGCTGTAAAGGTTCTCAATGCCTCCTCAAAAGTTCTTGTACTTCCCCCTTTGTTCCTTTCCCCCACATGCCACTACAGTAGACAGCCGAATAAGGACCAAAACAATTCCTCCTAATTTCATTTCTCTTACTTTACTAATAAAACTTGGGTCCGGGAAAGACCAGACAAAGTCATTAATTTGGAGTGTTTCCGTAGATATTATGTCCAATACATGTTACCCTCGAGGACAAACCTCTCCATGGCGTCATGTACCCAAATTTAAGGTGTGTCTGTTCGTTCAAGTGATGCAGAGAAGAAAATCTAAGCATCCCATGTGGACAAATTTTTCTTTTATGAGGGAGTGGCTAGAATTTCGATTTTTAGGTAGAAAACTCAAACAGGAAATTGGAATTCCAATCCAAATGAATAATCTACTCCTAGAAAACAAAACACACTATCTCGTGTATATCTGTCTCCTGAGTTCGGTGTGGTTTGGATTTGTCTGGAAAGCACTACACCGCCGGCTTACCTTACACACCTCAGCACCCGAGACTTTTTTCTAGAATAAATCTAACCTTACCAAATGATTAGGATGAACAATTAGATTAGAACCATGATTACAATTATTCTAAAAACAGGGGTGTCAGTGTCAGATCGATCTTTTATGATTTCAACACCTAGCTGTAGGACCCAATTCATTTATATTTGTTAATTTTTCTTAGGGGAAAATAAAACAAGAATTTATAGTAGTTAACAAGAGGTTCTATGTCAATTATCAATCAACTAACAAGAATGGCCAGTTTAATGCCACATAGTATTATGCATAGTAGAGGCAACAATCATACGGTACTGTAAGTCAAGGGATAAGATTAGTAACAAAACAAAATGGAAAACTCGTCTTGCACGTCAAGTTCAGTTTTGAGTTAATTTAGGGCCTTTTAGACATCAACAAAGGAAATTTAATTCCTATAAATGTGCACACGCAAGGCAAAAAAAAGTTCACTTCTAAGATTTACTTAATAGGAAATGTGCAAATAAATATAAGGAATAGTATTTATCTGTTTTATTTTTTAAAGGAATATTATTTTAAAATTATGTTATTTTAATAAATATTTATTAAAAAA